ACAGTATCATACTGATGTGTATACATTTACAACTATACAGTATCATACTGATGTGTATACATTTACAACTATACAGTATCATACTGATGTGTATATATTTACAACTATACAGTATCATACTGATGTGTATCCATTTACAACTATACAGCATCATACTGACGTGTATATATTTACAACTATACAGCATCATACTGATGTGTATACATTTACAACTATACAGTATCATACTGATGTGTATACATTTACAACTATACAGTATCATACTGATGTGTATACATTTACAACCATACAGTATCATACTGATGTGTATACATTTACAACTATACAGTATCATACTGATGTGTATACATTTACAACTATACAGTATCATACTGATGTGTATACATTTACATTTACAACCATACAGTATCATACTGATGTGTATACATTTACAACCATACAGTATCATCCTGATGTGTATACATTTACAACCATACAGTATCATACTGATGTGTATACATTTACAACTATACAGTATCATACTGATGCGTATACATTTACAACTATACAGTATCATACTGATGTGTATACATTTACAACCATACAGTATCATACAACCTGATGTGTATACATTTACAACTATACAGTATCATACTGATGTGTGTATACATTTACAACTATACAGTATCATACTGATGTGTATATATTTACAACTATACAGTATCATACTGATGTGTATACATTTACAACTATACAGCATCATACTGACGTGTATATATTTACAACTATACAGCATCATACTGATGTGTATACATTTACAACTATACAGTATCATACTGATGTGTATAAATTTACAACTATACAGTATCATACTGATGTGTATACATTTACAACTATACAGTATCATACTGACGTGTATATATTTACAACTATACAGCATCATACTGATGTGTATACATTTACAACTATACAGCATCATACTGATGTGTATACATTTACAACTATACAGTATCATACTGATGTGTATACATTTACAACTATACAGCATCATACTGATGTGTATACATTTACAACTATACAGTATCATACTGACGTATATATATTTACAACTATACAGCATCATACTGACGTGTATATATTTACAACTATACAGCATCATACTGACGTGTATACATTTACAACTATACAGCATCATACTGACGTGTATACATTTACAACTATACAGTATCATACTGACGTGTATATATTTACAACTATACAGTATCATACTGATGTGTATATATTTACAACTATACAGCATCATACTGACGTGTATACATTTACAACTATACAGTATCATACTGACGTGTATATATTTACAACTATACAGCATCATACTGACGAGTATATATTTACAACTATACAGCATCATACTGATGTGTATACATTTACAACTATACAGCATCATACTGACGTGTATACATTTACAACTATACAGCATCATACTGACGTGTATACATTTACAACTATACAGCATCATACTGATGTGTATACATTTACAACTATACAGTATCATACTGATGTGTATACATTTACAACTATACAGTATCATACTGATGTGTATACATTTACAACTATTATCATACTGACGTGTATACATTTACAACTATACAGTATCATACTGACGTGTATATATTTACAACTATACAGCATCATACTGACGTGTATATATTTACAACAATACAGCATCATACTGACGTGTATACATTTACAACTATACAGCATCATACTGACGTGTATACATTTACAACTATACAGTATCATACTGATGTGTATACATTTACCATACAGTATCATACTGATGTGTATACATTTACCATACAGTATCATACTGATGTGTATACATTTACAACTATACAGCATCATACTGACGTGTATATATTTACAACTATACAGTATCATACTGATGTGTATACATTTACAACTATACAGCATCATACTGACGTGTATACATTTACAACTATACAGTATCATACTGATGTGTATACATTTACCATACAGTATCATACTGATGTGTATACATTTACAACTATACAGCATCATACTGACGTGTATATATTTACAACTATACAGCATCATACTGATGTGTATACATTTACAACTATACAGTATCATACTGATGTGTATACATTTACCATACAGTATCATACTGATGTGTATACATTTACAACTATACAGCATCATACTGACGTGTATATATTTACAACTATACAGCATCATACTGATGTGTATACATTTACAACTATACAGTATCATACTGATGTGTATACATTTACCATACAGTATCATACTGATGTGTATACATTTACCATACAGTATCATACTGATGTGTATACATTTACAACCATACAGTATCATACTGATGTGTATACATTTACAACTATACAGTATCATACGATGTGTATACATTTACAACCATACAGTATCATACTGATGTGTATACATTTACAACCATACAGTATCATACTGACGTGTATATATTTACAACCTGTTACAGTATCATACTGACGTGTATATATTTACAACCATACAGTATCACACTGATGTGTATATATTAACAACCTGATACAGTATCATACGTATAGCTCTCGCGATGGGGATATATTTAACTCAATATAGAGCTAAAATAGGATGTTTAAGTCAACCAGACAAAACCAAGAAGAGACAAAAATGCTGTTATGCTCAGAATACTATGTTTCTGTATGCCTGAGTCTCTTGGTGCTGCTGAGTACTTTGTTAGTAACATGTGGCAGTCCAACCGAGGCCCTTGTCCCCGCCCCAGTACACGACAACAAACCACGTTATCTGTCGACCCAGCTGGAGCGATTGGACTTCACACTACGGAGAAAGAATCAAGTGACGTTCTTAATATACTTAGAGAAATAAAATCGGACATCCACTCATTATCACAAAGGTTTCAAAACTTGAGCAATAAAGTTGATGACATGGCAGCTGAAATGCACAAGAAGTTCAAGGCGCTGAAGTCAGAAAACAGTTAACTTAAATCTGAACTATCACTTATGTGAGACAAACTAGATGATCTTGAATGTCAGAACAGAAGGAATGGAATTGGTGAAACGGGAATTGAAACTTGGGAACAGACAGACCAGAAAGTTGGAACGTGGATGATATCCTCATTCACAGAGGTCACTGACTCAATATGAGAAATAAGGTCTCCAATCATCGCCACATTTCTGACATGGGATAAGAGTTTACAAACAAGCGAAGGACAGTGTAATAACACGTAGTCTGTAGCACTCAGTGTTATACAACTCGACAATGAGGCCTCCCTTCAACAGCGGAAGTTATGGACCGCTCCCCGCGCAGAGGCATCTGGGATTGGCCTGACTATGGAGTCCAGGGCTCCAGATGATTTTCAACATCAGGAGTACGTACTCCTTATTTTTTCAATATAGGAGTACTGGAAAACTTTAAGAGTACATTTAGAGTACTGAATGGGATTTAAAGGAGTATCAGTAATCTTGTGTTTCGTTTCATATATGCACCACAACACTGCAATGATCAATAAAACAATTCATTTTCGGATAAGTACGTCTGTAAAGGATTCTAAGACCGTACACCACTGCTGTGGTGCGTATCTGCTACGTTTTCTAAATTATTTCCTACCGTATCATGCTTATTTTATATCCGTACCTACCCCAATACGACCCTTATCTGGAGCCCTGGAGTCGCTTGTACTCCTCAATGATTAAACCTTTAATTCCAATCCCCAGTCCGTTATTCATCTAAAACACCACAGAATTGGCGACGAGGACAAACAATATGGCTTCATACGACAAAATCGGTGAGTTCGACGCTGAACACAAATCATGGATAGCTTATTCCGAGAGACTAACTGCATACTTTGAAGCGAACTCCATAGAGGCAGCGGCACGAAAGGGCGCGCCATTCTTATCAGTGTTGTTGGTGCAAAGACTTATAGTCTGTTAAGAAGTTTGGTTTCCCCTGCAAAAACCTCAGACAGGTCCTTCAAAGATCCAACTTCTTGGAAAACATTACGACCCTAAACCGTCTCCAATCATTCAGCGGTTTAAGTTCAACACGTGTTCCAGGAAACAGGGACAGTCAATTTCGTCATTCGTGGCTGAACTCTGAAGCATTGCCGAGCATTGCAATTACGGGGGAGCAATTGAGAACCAGCTTCGCAACCGACTCGTATGTGGTGTAATGGATGACCGAATTCAAAGGAGATTACTCTCTGAACCAGAATTGAATTACAAAAAGGCTTTGGAAATAGCCCAAGGAATTGAGAGTGCAAACAAAAACATTTCTGACATGCAGCAAGTAATTTCAAAGAAAGAGGAAGGGGTACACCACGTTTCATCACACAAAAACAAGACCAAACATATACAGCACAGGAATAACAAGCACAGACCAGCACCTGTGAGTTACAACAGTCAATCATGTTACAGATGTTTGGGGACCAACCATACACCTAAAAAGTGTTGTTACAAAGATGAAATGTGTAAGTACTGCCATGTCAAGGGTCACATACTGTTGTGTACTTGTCCGTAGACCCTTCGATCCTGAACTACTCAGCAATAACAAGAGACAAGATCGGTTGACATCGTTTACTGGTTGCCATCTCACAACAGACGAGAACGCCACTTCCGCTCTCCTACTTCCGTGATTAACATCCGGACAGTACTAACGTAACAGCCGGGAACAACCATTACAGACCAATATCCTACATCACCCCCTCTAGTTTTTTACTATTTCCTCCGAGAGGTACAAAAAAAAAACTAAAATTTTCCCTCTTAAGACCAATAAGTCCTCTGTCACCTTCTCAAATAATGTAATGTCCATGACATCAAAAGGAAATGTGCATCTGCACTTGAGAAATTAGAGTTCAATCTGTAGCACTCATATTTGAACTTAATATTGTTCACTGGCACAATATCTTGCAGAACACAATGAATGAACACATTCACACTTTTAGCGTTCAATACACTCTTTCATTATTACACGTCACTGAATCGGGCTGGTCTTCTCCGATCTCTGGGAGGGTTGCGACGGGGTTCTTCAACAGCAGCTGGTGTCGCAGCTGGCTTCCCACATGGTGCAGTCAAACTCTTCCCCTGAACAACTGTTAGAGGTGGTGCTAGGTTGCTCTCTGCCTGCTTTGGCTGGTTGCTGGATAACATGCTCTCTGACCTTCCTCGTTGAGAAATATCGTGATCCGGAATGTGCGGAATGAATGGATCGAGAGGCAATCTACATCCTGTAGTTATGTCTCTCGACCTGATTTGGTCTACATGTCTTTTCCACACTTGACTTCCTACAGAAACCTGGTAGTTTCTGTCCCCTAGTCTTTCAACTATAGTGCCAATTAACCATCTAGCACCGTAAACACCATAGTTACGGACAAATACAGCTTGTCCTACATCAAAGTATCTGGGCGCATTGTCGTGAGGATCTTCCTTCACAGACATATCATTCTCCATTGCTGGCCGGAGTGCGGAGAGTCGAGTCCTCAAGGTACGTTTCATGAGTAACTCTGCAGGTGTTTTTCCTGTTGACGAGTGAGGAGTGGTGCGATAAGAAAATAGAAATCTCAGTAACTTATCTCCAATGTCACCATCCTGATTCTTCATTTTCTTCATGGCTTGTTTGAAAGATGCTACTGCTCTTTCTGCCTGTCCGTTTGTTGCCGGATGGGCAGGTGCAGTTGTGGTGTGTCGTATTTTGTTGCGACGCAAGAATGTTTGGAACTCCTGGCATGTGAATTGGGTTCCGTTGTCAGAAACAATATGGAGTGGCAGTCCAAATGTAGCAAACAATCGGCGAAGATGCTTGATCGTGATCGTAGCAGTGGTAGACCTCATCTGATATATTTCCAACCATTTGGAGTGAGCGTCCACAATTACGAGAAATGAGTGTCCAATGAAAGGACCTGCAAAGTCTATGTGCAGTCTAGTCCAAGGAGATGATGGCCACTTCCAAGGGGTAGGCACGACTGATACTGGATGATTGGCTTCCTCCTGACAATCTAAACATCCCCTGACCAGATTCTCAATATCACGGTCCAAGTAGGGCCACCAGATGATACCTCTCACAACTGACTTCATATGAACCATTCCGGAATGTTCGTTGTGTAACTCATTCAATAGGGCTTCCCTATAAATAGTAGGAATCAACACTCTTGTTCCCCACATCACAACACCTTGTTCAACTGTCAGCTCCAATCGACGTTGATAGAACGGCTTTAATTCTTGTGATACATGATCAGGCTCCTCAGGCCAACCTTCAAGTGTGAGTTGTTGTACTTGATGAAGCAACTTGTCATTATCTGTTGCCCTGGCAACGGCTTGTGCAGTTATGGGCAAATCCTCATCAACTTGTGATAGGAGTAGAACTAGTTCTGTGTCAGATTCCGTGGAATCTTCCATCAATGACAAAGGCAATCGTGAAAGCAGATCTGCATTGGCATTTTGTTTGGAAGTCCTATATTCAATATTGTATTGGAATGTAGCAAGTTTCAGAGACGATCTCTTGATCCGAGATGCAGCCATCACAGGAGTTTCTTTGGATGGAGAGAACAGGTGAATCAATGGCTTATGATCCGTAATCAGAGTGAATTGTCTTCCAAGTAGGTATTGTCGGAACTTAGTGACCACGAAGATAAGGGCCAATGCCTCTTTTTCCAGTTGAGAATAGTTTTTCTCTGCGGAATTGAGCTTGCGTGATGCAAAAGCGACAGGTTTTTCCCCTTCCTCCGTTCGGTGCTGAAGTACACATCCTATGCCATAAGGAGATGCATCACATGATACAACTATCTCCTTATCACTGTCATAGTGTATGAGAAGACTATCACTTGTGAGATCAGACTTGGAAACTTCAAATGCTTGCTGCTCAACCTGCGTCCATTTCCATGTGGCAGTCTTCTTCAACAGATCATATAATGGTGCACACTTAGTAGCCATGTTCGGCAAGAACTCGGAATAGTGATTTAACATTCCTAAGTAAGAACGCAGCTCATTCACCTCTTTAGGTGCTGGAGCATCTTTGATCGCAGAAACCTTGCTAGGTGTAGGGTGAATACCATCCTTATCAACCGTGAAGCCAAGGAATTCAACCTTGCTGCGGAAAAACTTGCACTTGTCCAATCGAAGTTTAAGTCCTGCACTCCTGAGAGCTTTGAGAACTGCTTTCAAGTTCCTCTTGTGTTCAGTATGGGTTCTGCCTGTTATGCATATGTCATCCATGAAAATTACAAGTCCTATCAATCCTTTCAACACCATCTCTATTGTTCGTTGGAACACTGCAGGTGCTGCACTTACACCATATGGCAATCTGTTGAATTGATACAAACCCTTTGTTGTATTTATGGTTGTCAGCCCTTTTGATGGTTCGTCAAGTTCCAACTGTAGGTACGCATGACGAAGATCTAGCTTTGTAAATTCTTCACCACCACTCAGATTTGCCAACAGTTCATCCACTTTAGGAATCGGGTGGATGTCCGTTTTGGAGAACAGATTCACAGTTGATTTATAATCTCCACAGAGACGAACCTCGCCTGATGGTTTAACCACTGGAACCACAGGAGTAGCCCACTGTGAGAACCTAACCTTCCTTATGATGTCTTCGGACTCCATCCTATCAATTTCTGCATCTACCTTCTGGCGTAGAGCTAAAGGTACATTCCTGACCTTACAGAACACCGGAACAGCATTGTCTTGTACTGACAATCTGACTTTAAAGTCCTTCAAATGTCCAAGTCCTTCATCAAAGACTTCCTGATATTCATTCAATATCTCGGTGACATCCTCCTTCTGCGAGGAATTAGCAATACTGTTCGTGAACATGTGTTGCCATGACATCATATGCTGTAGCCAGTCTCGACCCAGTAGTGCTGGACCTGTACCATCCACTACAATGAGAGATAACTCCAGTATCTTCTCATTCATATCAACTTCCAACTACAGGTATGCTTTGCCCATTATAAGCCTTCAGTACACATGAACTTTCAAAAAAGTTCTTTGTCCGGGAACAAGGAATTATACATCCCTTGATTTATCAATGTGACACTTGATCCTGTGTCCACTTCAAATTCAACCATTCTGTCATCCACTTTAAGTGATTGTTTTATTTTCTGTGTTCCACCTTGACTAACTGAGGACACCATGTACAATTCTGTGAATTCATCTGACGTACAGTGATCCACCATGTTGGTCTTACCAACTTGAGATTGATTTCTGTTCGAGCGGTTCCTACAAGCTCGTACCAAGTGTCCTTTCTTGCGTCAAAAGTTACAAACAGTATCCTTATATGGACAGTTCGGTGGAGAGTGCCTAGTGGACAAACAACGAGTACACTGGTTAAGCTCAGTCTCTGGCCCCTTGTTACCATGGTTACCTGGCTTCTTATCCATCTGGTCCCTCTTGAATCCACGGCCTTTATTGCCCTTGTTATGTATCATCTTATTCACTGCATGTCCTTGACCTTGCTGCAGACTCTTTGCCTCCTTGGTGGCAGTTTCCATTCCAACGGCAAGTTGGTAGGCCTTGTCGAAGGTCATCTTAGCATCCTCCTGTAACAGTTGCCGACGTATCACTTCACTGTGCACACCTGCCACAAAACGATCTCGCAGCCACATGTTCAGATTCTCACCATAACTGCAGTCTTCTGCTATGCGTCGTAACTTAGCAACATATTCATTGACTGTCTCATCAGGCCTTTGTGACAATCGATTGAAGTTACATCTAGCAATAATGATGCTCGGAGGAGGGTTCAAATGCTGTGTTAATTTCTCAATGATGTCCTCACTCTTGAGTGTAGACACCTTGACAGGTGCGAACAAGTCATGTGCCAGTTTATACAATTCATCACCCATTGTTGAGATAAGTGTATAAGTGTATTGCATTTGTGATCTTGTTAGCTTCCATGCTTGAGATGAAACGTTCTGCATAGATACTAAAATCCTCCTTTTTCCCAGAGAATTTAGGAATAGGAATAAGTGAAAAGTTTACTTGAGGCACTCCTTGGTCACCTGGGCCTTCGTCTTGACTCATGATTCACACTCGAAATCAGCAACAGTATTAATGACACATAGATTCACAGAAGTTCACGTTATCCGTCTAGATGAGGAAACTTCTCTTTGACAAGTGACAATTGTTCATAATATTCACGTAGAATATTTTCCAAAGTTCCAACACTGATACTGCATTCATGTAGAATACATGTACTTTTTCACTATATTCATGTAGAATATATAATGCAATGTTCACGTAGATTATTGCAACCTCACTTTAAGATTTCTGTGGATATTCCGCCTTAGCAAAATAACAATTAATGTTTGTCAACGAGCTTCCCACGAAAGCACATGGTCGGGTCACGTGGTCCCTTTTGCGCCGAGATGGCGACCAGTAACATCACTTCACTTCGAGTGAAAAGTTCACTATGAAACACGTATCTTTCATAGACTTACAACAAGGAATCCGTGGATCCCATCCTCGTCGCCATTTATCTGTTGTGTACTTGTCCGTAGACCCTTCGATCCTGAACTACTCAGCAATAACAGAGACAAGATCGGTTGACATCGTTTACTGGTCGCCATCTCACAACAGACGAGAACGCCACTTCCGCTCTCCTACTTCCGTGATTAACATCCGGACAGTACTAACGTAACAGCCGGGAACAACCATTACAGACCAATATCCTACACATACTGAAAGCTTGTAGAAGGAGAGGTCAGAATCCAAAACGTTCAAATCCCAAATCAAGCATGAATGTTGTTGACGAAGACGAAGATCTTTCGGAGCACGAAGAATATGGTCTATATCACATACATGATGGAGAGACAGCTGTACCACCCTACTATGTGACTCTGACTCTGACTAAAAAACCTGTTGAACTGCAGATAGACTCTGGAGCCACGTTCTCCATTTTGACAAAATTGCAATATGACCACATGTTCAGGAGGTTTTCGCCCATGCAACGCCGCCAGATGCGTTTCGGGTGTAACTTGTTGAAAAACACCTTGCTTCGCGAAAAACACGTGCTTCTCGTGGGGAAACCGTCGACGAGGGGACACGTGACTGCCTCTGGGGGGGTCAGTTAGATAGCAGAGCTTGTCAGTGTAAGACCTTATTTTGAGACAGCTGAATAAAGTTTGAAACTAACATGACATTTTGGCTTTTCCTTATTATCACCACATGTGGTCCAGAAAAGAAGCATCTCAAATCCAGAAAACTACGAGAGTACTGCGATCATATACAGGTGAGAGACTCACCATGTTGGGAGTCATTGATGTTATTGTTGGGTACAAAAACAAACATGTGTCATCACACATTCTGATTGTTGATGCAGATCGTCCTAGTCTTTTGGGTCGAGACTGGATCAAGATGTTACGTCTCCATTTTGTCGAGCTCGTACCTGTACACGAGGTATCCGTGTCAAAACCCCAACACTGTACACGATGTCATAGATGCACATTCTGAAATCTTTGAAGATGGCATTGGTGAAATCAAAGGTGCCAAGGCTAAAATCCATGTGGATCCTGACGCCAAGCCTCGGTTTTTCAAACCGAGGTCTGTACCATATGCCCTGAGACAAAAGGTGGAAGACGAACTAGACAAATTGGTCCCGAGAAGAGATCGTTGAGCCTGTTCAGTTTTCAGACTGGGCCACTCCCATAGTGCCAGTGCTGAAATCTGATGGAAGTGTTCGAGTATGTGGAGACTACAAGGTGACAGTAAATCAGGTATCTACACTTGACACTTACCCTATTCTGAAGATCAATGACTTGTATGCAAAGTTGTCGGGAGGCCAGACGTTCACCAAGATCGACTTAGCAAGTGCCTATCTACAGCTTCCACTAGACGAGAGTTCCAAAGTTTACACAACAATCAACACACACCGTGGATTGTTCCGATACAACAGGCTTCCTTTTGGAATATCATCGTCACCTGGAATCTTTCAGCGATACATAGACAATCTCCTGCAAGGACTACCCATGACAACCCATGTCAACAATGTTGACTCTGTTCTCTCTAAACTCGCCAACCCTGGAGTAAAAGTGAAGAAGGAGAAGTGCGTGTTCCAAGCAAAAGAGGTTACGTACCTCAGACATCGCATTGACTCAGAAGGACTACACCCTGTGACAGACAAAGTTGAAGCTTTAATCAACGCTCCAACTCCGAAAAATGTATCTGAACTGAAGTCTTATCTGGACTCTTGAAGTACTATGGAAAATTCCTTCCAAACCTGTCAACGGTCTTATCTCCTCTTCACCAGCTTCTGAAAAAAGATGTCAAATGGAAATGGACACCAGCTCAACAAAACGCTTTTGACAAGTCAAAGTCCTTGTTGAATTCATCACAAGTCCTGGTACACTACGACAGTACTAAGTATCTGATACTTGCGAGGGACGCATCTCAATACGGCCTTGGGGCCGTACTGTCTCACATCTTTGAAGATGGAACCGAGCATCCTATCGCTTTTGCTGAATGCAACTACTCACAAATAGAGAAAGAAGGACTGTCCGTTATATTTGGAGTCAAGAGATTCCACACTTACCTGAAGAAAATTCTTCATAAATAATGACCACAAGCCCCTGGAAACCTTATTCAATGAGAAAAAGGGCATACCAGTCACAGCTTCCGGCAGGATACAGAGGTGGGCCATCACACTTTCTGCATATGACTATTCGTTCCAGTATAGATCAGGCAGAAGACTGAGTCATGCGGACGCCATGAGTCGACTTCCATTAGGCACTACACTGAAGTCAGTACCTACGCCACCTGAAGTTGAGAACTCCATAGGCTTCCTAGATGCCACACCAATCACATCAGACGACATTGAAAAAGCAACAACAAAGGAACCCGTCCTTTCGAGAGTGAAGAGATTCATTTTGAACAGGTGGACTGACACCCCTGATCCTTGTATGCTGCTTTACAAATCCAGGCAGTCTGAACTTTCCGTCCATGGTGGTATCCTCCTGCGGGGTGCAAGGGTGGTAGTTCCACCACAATGACAGCCAAGAGTGTTAGAAATGCTTCACCAAGGACACCCGGGAATCGTCAGAATAATGATGTTAGCGAGAAGTTATGTCTGGTGGCCGAAGATGGACTCGGACATAGAAGCTACAGTTCATGAGTGTTCCCAGTGTCAGACCAACGCGAAGTCTACACCATCAGTACAGATGCATCCATGGGAATATCCACAGAATCCATGGACTCATGTCCATACTGATTATGCCGGACCAATTGAGAACAAAATGTTCTTAAATGCGGTCGATGGCATTCCAAGTGGATTGACATTCACATTACCAACTCTACCTCATCACTAGTGACAATTGAGAAGCTGGAAAGAACAGTTACGACATGTGGGTTACCTGCAACCATAGTCTTGGACAATGGGACATCGTTCACTAGCAGTGAGTTCCGTTTGTTCCTAAGCAACAAAAGGATAGAGCAACTGTTCTCTCCGCCGTACCATCCTTCATCGAATGGGTTGGCTGAACGTGGGACATCGTTCACTAGCAGTGAGTTCCGTTTGTTCCTAAGCAACAAAAGGATAGAGCAACTGTTCTCTCCGCCGTACCATCCTTCATCGAATGGGTTGGCTGAACGTGCAGTTCAGACATTAAAGGACTACTTGAAGAAGACCTCAGGACAATCCCTGCAATCTCGGGTATCCAAATTCTTGTTCCACTATAGATCTACGCCCAACATGACAACAGATAAATCACCTGCCGAACTGATGTTCAACCGAAAACTGAGGACACATCTGGATCTATGTCACCCTGATGAAGTTTCGAAGGTACAGAAGATACAAGCCAGACAAAAAGAGCAGCAAGACTCAAACACACGCACTAAGTCGGAAGAAGAAGGCGACAGAGTCTACATCACCAATTTTGGAAAAGGTCATCCATGGATAACTGGGCACCTAGTGAGCAGAAAGCAGTCCATGTGCGTCATCAAACTGCTAGACGGACGCATGGTACGCCGACATCTCGACCACGTTAAGGGTAGACAAGCAGAAGCACTGCCACCATCAGCTCTCTGCGATGTCAAGCCGCAGGGGTTCAGGAACCATAAGATTGAAAACACTCCAACACCCGCCAGTTCTCTTCCTGTGATTCCGTCCACTCCACCATTGTCAACAGGCGTTGACAACATGACACCAGTACCTGCCACAGAGCTGAAGGTCACAGCGACCCAGCCAGTGAGAAGTTCTGGCCGACACACCCGACCTCCTCAGAAACTTGACCTGTGATCAACCTGTGACCTATTCAGAGACTCTAAAGTGTCTTTTCGCGTTTAAAGTTCAGTAGTACTGTTAGATGTTCAGACAGTTCTAGTCATCTTATTCTAGTCATTCCTTATCCATTTTTCAGTAAGGTGAACTTTATTATCATTGAGTTTTGATGAAGGACTGTAATTTCATAAGTTCACTTATTTTGACATTAATTGAAATATTTTCAATCTTAAACGGAGAGGAATGTAACATCATGTAGTCTGTAGCACTCAGTGTTATACAACTCGACAATGACGCCTCCCTTCAACAGTGGAAGTTATGGACTGCTCCCCTGACTATGGCTTCGCTTGTACTCCTCAATGATTAAACCTTTAATTCCAATCCCCAGTCCGTTATTCATCTAAAACACCACAGACAGGCTATCAAAACACTCACAACATCGAGTCACAGAGTATTTTCCGCAAAACATTTGGGGGGACAGGCATGCTCTCTCACGCTGGTTTTCACGGGCACAGAAAGCTGGAAAAAGACCTATAGTACATCTAAAAAGCCCATAGTGGATAATGAAGTGTTCACATATGACAGGGGATCCAGAAATAATGTGGGCTCATCATCTCATCCAGATAAGAACAC